GCGCGCAGGCCGTCAACAACAGCGGTCAGCGAATCCTTTCCAGAGTGCATGCCCGCCCTCCAGGCAAAATCACGAACACGCCTCTGTCGGCTTCTCGACGAGGGGGGCGTCCTTTCCCCTTCGACCACCGCTACCCGTTCCCGCCAAACGACACACCCGCAGCATGTGCAGGAGAAGAAACCTATCTAGGAACTGACAGCACGGAGGCGGTCGACGACAAAATCTGACTACACTTAAAGACTCAGTTCGGCGGCGCCGCCGGGACCCCAGTCAACCAACGGCGGGTCGACCTGCTTCCGGAAACCAAAACTCTCCGTGGTTGCGATGAACCCACCCCGGCTCATCCTGCGTTCGCCGCAGCGCATCAGAGGTCACTGAGAGGAACAAGAGGCATTCACTGAATGATGCTCGGGCCAGAGGTCGGCCCACTTCACACGATTCAGACAGGCATCTCGATCGCCCTCCCATGCCACGCGCCTTCCCACAAAAGCTTCGAGACTCAGCGTTCTGCTCAGGCGGCTAGGAAGTCCTTGACGAAGAAGAAGCAGATGCAAGCATGCACGATGAATACGTCGGTATTCCCAACTATACTTGCGGTTGTCTATCAGGATACGATCTTCGCATTGATCGGCGAACTCCGAGCCCGTCAGCTGCCAATCTCGACCCATGACATTCGCCAGCGCACAAGCAATGGCTCTGGATGCGGACCCCACCCGAGCAAGCTGTCGTATACCGGGGTGACGGAACCTGACTTTGATCCTGCCTCCCTTTTCTTCTATGGTCATCCCAGGCAAGCACGGCTGCCACTTCCGGAGGTGTTGCAATGTGACGGCCGTCGACGGCGTCGGAGCATGCTTCACCCACTCTCCGGATGCGTCAGGCCGCCACACGCCACCTTTTGTGTGCAGCTCCAGTGTGACAGGCACGGAAACAACGTCACGAAGCACTCCTTCCAGAATCGAAAAAGGAAGAGACAGGAGCTCCACGCTTGCCATGGCACCACCGAGAAAAGGTCGAGCGGTAGCTCGCGGCCTGACTGAGCCTGCTAGCAACTCGACGTCGACGTGAGCATGAAGTGACTCACTCTCTCTCTCTCTCTCTCTCTCTCTCTCTCTGTCTCACTGTCTCTCGGTCTCTCTGTCTCTCTCTCTCTCTCTCTTTCTCTATCTTTCTTTCTCTCTCTCTCTCTCTCTCTCTCTCTGTCTCTCTCTCTCTCTCTCTCTCTCTCTCTCTTTCTCTCTCTCTCTCTCTCTCTCTCTCTCTCTCTCTCTCTCTCTCTCTCTCTCTTCTCTCTCTCTCTCTCTCGCGCTCTCTCTCTCTCTCTCTCTCTCTCTCTCTCTCTCTCTCTCTCTCTCTCTCTCTCTCTCTCTCTCTCTCTCTCTCTCTCTCTCTCTCTTTCTCTCTCACTACTACTACTAATCCTACTAATCCTACTACTACTTCTACTACTACTACTACTACTACTACTACTACTACAGATTCAGGGGTCCGGGGTTTCGGGTCTAGGGCTTCGAGCTCAGATCACGGACAGGGGGGGTGGGAGGGGCAGTGCGAAGGGTTTGACCCTCCGCCCCCCTCCCCAATCCCCCCCTCATTGGAGGAGCGTCCTTGCTCATACTCCATAAAGGATGCTTCCGTGATCTGAGCTCTTGCCCCTTCGGGTTTAGGGTTTAGGGTTTACTACTGCTATTACTAGTACTACGACTACTACTACTACTACTACTACTACTACTACTACTACTACTACTACTACTACTACTACTACTACTGCACTGGAGTCTATGCTAAGAATCTCTCTCTCTCTCTCTCTCCCCTCTCTCTCTCTCTCTCTCTCTCTCTCTCTCTCTCTCTCTCTCTCTCTCTCTCTCCCCTCTCTCTCTCTCTCTCTCTCTCTCTCTCTCTCTCTCTCTCTCTCTCTCTCTCTCTCTCTCTCTCTCTCTCTCTCTCTCTCTCTCTCTCTCTCTCTCTCTCTCTCTCTCTCTCTCTCTTTCTCTCAAGTCCTGCGGTCGGTCGATCTGAGCACACGTTTGGTCGGCTTCCCAGTACGGGTAGCACAGCATACAAACCGCGCTATCCACTCGTCACTTTTGCGATTTTCTTCGTCATCGCGGTCTTCTTGGGCTCCCTAACTTTCATCAGAGCCCGTTCGGTCTTCGTTCCGCAGATCTTTACGTGTCAGATCGATAATCCGTTCATACTCTTTCCCTGGAAAGAACACAATTTATCTCAGAGACATGCGGTCACAATCCGATCCGACATCCGGGCTGGCTTCCCAATACGGGTCACGCAGCGTCATCGGACGACCGCGCCGGCTTCCCAGTACGGGTCACGCAGCGTGCAGGCCGTCACATTTGTCGAGCATCACCACCTTCGGCGGGATGATGCGACAGACAGGCAGCTTCATAAACAGAATCCAACTCCGAAAGGATCGTGTGCACAGCTGTCCCACGCGCCTTCAGGGTCGCCTTCGAACGTTTCATCGTGCTCTTCATGGCCGTCGCGGTCTTCGGGCCTTTCATCTTGGTGTCCATGGCCATCTTCAGGCTGCTCCGTGGCTCGATCAGCCATCTCTTGAAGCTCTCGAAACCACTCCTGTAGCTCAGGGTTGCTAGTCTCCTGGATGTTGAAAAGGGCAGGAGAGCCGTCCAGACTTACTCCGTGTTGCGAAAGGCAGTCGAGCTGATCCTCTGCTTCCAGGCTCCGATCATGCAGGTCCACGGCTCTCACCCGAGTCTTCACCGCCTTCACCGCCTTCGTCGTCTCCAGGCCTGTCATTATGGTCTTCACAGTCCTCGTCGTCTTCACGGCCGTCTTCGGGTGGCTGGGCATCGCGAAGCGCTCCTCTTTTGACTGCCACCGCGACAGCTGTGGCATGCAGAAACTCCGCTCCGCAGCCCGGATTTTCCATCGCAGCCACCGTCTCCTGAAGCGACCATGTTTCTGGAACACTGTCGACACAGTACGCCTGCCCAGTATCAGCATCCAGCTGCCACACCTCGATCTTCCCTGGGAAATGCCGGAGTGTGGGATGGTTCAGCGAGTTAGGCTGTGCCCAGCGCAGCGGACCAGGTGGAGTTTCCGCATGCAAATCGTCAGGCACAGCAGCAGGATCCGTCTGGACTGATGCATCTACCAGGGGCTCAGGGATTCTGGCAACAAAGGTACCGGCATTGTTTTTCCTCGGCTCCTGCCGTTTCCGAGGTGCCGACGGTCTCTTCATGGCCGCTGGCTTCCGCGCTGCCGAAGGCCTCTTCATGGCCACCGCGGGACGCCTGGTCGCCGTCGTCATCTTTGCGGCCTTCTTCGTCATCGAGATCTTGTTGGGCTTCATTGCTTTCATCGGACCGGCTTTGGTCTTCGTGCCAAGACGGCTCTTCATCTACAAGATCGATGATGCTTTCATACTATTTCGGCGGCAAGAGCACACTTTTTCTCAAAGACGCACCGTCCACCCGATTCGACATCCGAGCTGGCTTCCCAATACGGGTCACGCAGCGTCCAGGCCGTCGCAGTCGTCGAGCATCACCATTTTCGGCGGGACGATGACACTGGCTTCTTATTCCACCGGCGCCGACAACGGCGACGTCGAGCCCTGAGTGGCTTCGTGGCCAGTATCCAACTTCGAAGGTAGACTTCATCGTACAGGCGCAGCATCCATCCCTCTTTCTCATCGTCCCAGCGAGAGATGTCGGCATCCGGAGGTGCAGGAAGATGACGATCACAGACTATCAGCAACGCGTTGAAGTACGTCACGACACGCGGGTGGCTTCCAACCGCCGCATGCCAGTCGCACAACGAGTCCTGCAGCTGCTCTCTCACATCGAAAACCACCTCTTTCAGCACCCGACAAATACTGCAGGCTTTCGCTGTACTCACTGATCCTAGAACATCTTCCACATCTCGCCGACGCAGACCTTTGTTCGAAGCCTCACTCACGGATCCCAGCAAAGCTTCCAGATCTTGCCAACGAAGACCTCTGTCAAAAGTCCCGGACGCTGCCGACATGGCGGCAGCTAGGAGATCAACTCGGATTCGAGAGCATGAAATGAACAACAGCAGAGAGACACAGTGTTCTGCGCCGCGCGATTCTTGTGTTTCTTTGCTGATGGCCTAATCACCAGACGACATCACAAAACGAGAGCATTTTTTTTCGAGTCATGTGATCGTTCCGAATCCCCGGGCTGGCTTCCCAATACGGGTCACACAGCGGCCAGGTGTCCAAGTCGAGTCGTCGATCACAGCATGCCGGCTGGCTTCCCAATACGGGTCGCACCGGTCCTACTACACGCGAAAATTGCACCGCGCACCGATCACCGCCTTCGGCGAATTTTGAATGAAGGTTCCAGGTCCGATTGCCGCCGGGCCGCTGCTAGACTGAGCTCGGCTTTCGTGTACAGAAACCAAGTCCGAAGAAAGACTCCCAACTCGAGACGGCGCATCAATCTTTCTGACATTGGTCCCCAGCCGGGTAAGCAAGGCGTAGGAGAAGGAAGATGATGACGAGAACAGATTCCTTTCAATGCGTGCAAGTACGCAATGACGCCGGAGCATTCCCCTGCCGGAAACCAACAGTTCTCTGCATCCGTCAACACCATTTTCAAGACATGGCAAACGTGTCCAGCCTCCGTTGCAGTCAATTGAAATAGAATAACTTCTAGACCCTCCGGACGGAGACCGACAACATTCGGAAACTCAAGCGCTGCCGGAGCCAAGCCGAAGGTCATGTGCTAGCTACTTGACACTGACAACGAAAGTGGCAGGGAGACTTTCCTCGCAGCTTTCGCTGCTTCTGGAGCAGCAACAGCAACAGCAAGATTGACAGTGACGGGCCTATCAAGAACGTATCTGGATCTTCTGAAACAACTCATCCTGCGCGGAACCAGCACTACTCTAGTCCCCGTGCACGGCCACATGTGGCTCCTTCGCTAACAAAGGCAATCTTATTTCCAAAACTCATGCCATCGTCGATCGGAGCCTCCGGGCTGGCTTCCCAATACGGGTCACGCAGCGATTCGGCCTCTACTCTTCGTGCGGGTGGTCATATCTTCTTCCAGCTCCAAGCCCGCTAGGCATCGTCTGAATTGAGCCCGACGCCGGAAACCAGACCGGCGCAGTGCCACGTCGAGCGGAAGATGTCCCAACGCGTCGCGAAGCTCCGGGCTAGCTCGCGCCCGCACCAAACATGCCACCCACCTGTGGCTGCCCCTTTCAGCGGCTTGATGAAGGAGATGACAGTTGTGCGTGTAAGGTCGCACCGTAGCTCTAGCTCGCATCAGAGACAGGACTGGCTCGATCGAAGAGTCCATGAAACACCTTTCGATGGGACCACGACCCAACCCATCTTCCTGGGTGACGTCCGCCGCATTTCGCAACAGAACCTGCACCAAGGACCTGGAACCCATCGACGCAGCAATGAGCAAAGGCGAGTCCATTCGCCAGTCTCGGCGATTGACATCAGCTAAGCAGAAGACCAAGAATTGCGCCATCTGCACATTGTAGACGCTGCAAGCGCAGCAGAGAGCTGTTTTTTCGGTCTCGAATGTGGCTCGCGCGGCAAGAAGGCTCGCAGCGATGCGACAATTCGCGCCAGGAATTTGTGCAGCAAAACAAAGAGGAGTCCACCGCACTCGCCGCCTGAGACCACCATAATCCGTCAAGTCAACGTTCGGATCCACCCAGCTTGCAAGCAGCCGATCCACGTAGTTCCCGTCTTCCCTCTGTATGGCAGAGACTAGCTCGTCCTCACAGCCAGATCGAAATGGTCGCAGGAGCATCAGAACATCCAAATCCTGGCCTGCCAAGAAATGTTCGGAATTCTGCCAAACAACGCACCGGCCGATTGGCCGAGACTCATCCATGGAATGAAGGTCCACACGACCCTGAAGGATTCCAAAGTGACCAGCCACCATGGACCTTAACGTATTCAGCACGCTGTCCGAAGATGTTTGCTCCAGCGGGTTCACTACGAAAAGCTGCTCACCGCTCAGAGCGCGAAGTCGCAGCATGTCCGAGGCCACAGAAACACACAAAAACACCAAGAAGGGACGGCTACATACACCTAGCGAGCCTGGAGAACGTACTGCATCAATTTCGCTGGCGATAGATGCATCCGAAACACTTTCGTCGTCAAGAGCGAGCTTTTCTTATGAAACTCGCGCGGTTTTCGATCTCGGCATCCGGGCTGGCTTCCCAATACGGGTCACGCAGCGGCCGCGTCACGAAGCGAAGCGGTCCATGGAAGCATCCCGGCTGGCTTCCCAATACGGGTCACGCAGCGCGAAAGCTAGGAGCCACCACAGCATTCGTGTGATCGTCGTTCAGTCAACTCTACTCCGGCAGTAAGGAACAAAAAAAACAAATGGCAACCGGCAGCTTCCCATTCCGGGTCGCGCAGCATAGGCTTATATATCTCTATAGTTCAAACACGATCACAAGTTCGAGTTGCGCCCGATATCTGGAGCACGGCCATGCATTCAGGACTCTATGCTGGCGCCACTGTATGAGCGATTCCTCCTAAGCCTACCCGCTTCCGCCTCCACGCGCAGCACTAACGCAGGTTCCACAGAACAGCTGCGTGCCTTCAACGCCGTCTTCTGCGCCTCAGCCACCATCCGAACGGCTTGCCTACCGCGCCCTTCTGCATGGGCTTGGTACGCTCGCAGCCGCTCGTTGACACTATCCAGCCGAGTGCGAATTTCAGCATCCGAAGGACAACGACTCGATGCCCGTCCTCCCGCAGAGCCCGCAGGTGAAGATGCTCTGGAACCCACAGGATTACCCTGAGACTGAGTCTCGCCAGATCTTCGTGCGAAAGTGACAGGAAGCGAGTTCTCCTTGCGAAAGGCCTGCTCGTCCATCATCTCGCGACAGCGTCTCTCCAGCGTCGCCAGTCTGGCTTCCCTCTTATCCAAGCCGCCCCTAACCGTCTCTACTTTGGTCACACAGTCCGCGGCAGTCCGCTGCACCTGATCTAGCCATGCCTCGCACTTGGCCACATGCTGTGCGTACAGCGTCTTCAAGTCTTGCTCCACGGCCATCATTTGTTCACGTAACAAGTCCGTCTGACGAGCTACTTCGCTTCGATGGTGTTGCTGCAGTCGAGCCCACCACTGCTGTGCCGCATCGTCCATGGTGCGTCTCACACCTTCGGTTACACGATCTTCAAGATGCTCCAAAGAGTTCAAACGACTGTCATGTTTCTGGAATGTTTCCCGATTGGACCTGCGAGTTTCGTTGAGGAGCCTCTGCATGATCTCAACCTTCCTCGCGAGCTCCTCCAGCCGCGACACATGCTCAGCCATGGTGTCTCGAGACACGATCCACCGCAGGTGCACCGATAACTCAGAATCCCTGCTGTGGCATGTAATCTAGTCAAAGCAATTTCAGAAGAACGCATCATAGCGGCTGCCACAAACATGTACAGGCAGGGCTCACGGATCTGAGAGCAGGAACAGCAAGAGAAAGAAAGAGAGAGAGAGAGAGAGAGAGAGAGAGAGAGAGAGAGAGAGAGAGAGAGAGAGAGAGAGAGAGAGATCGATTCTTGAGCATTCTTGCTGATAGGCTGCCAAATGACGTCACATGAATCGCTTCCCTCACAACAGCAGGATTTTTTTTGTTCACGAGAGTGCCGTCGTCGACCTGGGCATCCGAGCTGGCTTCCCAATACGGGTCACGCAGCGGCAGATGTCCACGTCTCTTGCTGATGGACTACCAAACGGTGTCCGAGTCTTGCGGTCGACCAGAGCATCCCGGCCGGCTTCCCAGTACGGGTCGGTTCAGGTGTCATCGAGGTCACTCAGACAAAAGCGTCTGTCTTTGTGCATGGCCGCGTGGCTCGACGTTGTTGAGCGAGTCTGGCACTCGTCGGCCAGCGCGACCGGATAGGTGACAGCGAGTGACCTTCAAAGGCGCCGGGGGAGAGGGACAACCGAGGTGACCTGCGAAGGTCTGGAACCATCGTGTTCGACTCTCGTTTGTTAGCTGCATGTATACAGCTTCGCTTCAGATCTCCAGGCCAAAAACTAGAAGGAGGGATCAAAGAAATCGTTATCCCTCAAGAAGCGTAAGGATCCCCGGGTTGGGACTACATATTCTAAAGGCGGCATCTGGCAACATTCCGAAGTGGATTTCACCAGCCATCCGGGGTCTTCCGAAATTCGGGAAGTGCTATCTTCTAACTTCACAACCAAACGGCCCACCTCGCGGAGCTGCGCCGCTGCTCGCCGCGTCTAAACCCCGATACAGGCATCGGGCAGGACTCGTCTTTCTGTTTTCACAATGATTTGATTTATCGTGACAAAATGCGCATTCAATCAATCTGTATTTGAGAATCGCAATCTGTAATATATATATAAAAATTCCTCAGAAGAACTCGCTCACTCGGCCTCGGTCTTTTTTCCGTCGGGGGTCTCACACGGTAGGGCGAGTATGAAACTTCGAATGTGGCACAGACCACAGGTTTCGGGTTTCGGTTGAGGCACGAGCAAATATGCGGTAGGATTCGCAATCGCTCAATTGTGCATGATACCGATTCTGCCCCAACACGCATAACCCCCCCACCTAACATCGGGCGAAAGCCCTCAAGGGCGGGAGGGCGGGTGAAAATTTTTAGCAAAGCTCTGCACAGTATATGCTGGTGTTGACTCAATGGTCACTCGACTGCATGTGTGCACTGAGCCATGCTGTGTTGAGCGGCGCGGGTACCGACATATGGTTCAACTTCAATCAACAAGCGTAGTCAGAAAGCATGTTGTTTGAGTGAAGTTGTAATTGATGTCAAATTGGTTTCAAAGAAACGTTGTGGAAATGGTTGTGAGCCAAAAGCTCACTTCAAAAATTCAATAACAAACGATAAATAATTAATCATTGCGCTGCTAGACCGGCAGCTATGAAAACAGAAAAGACAACTTAGTCGCTCCGCGAAATCGCCGTCTTTCTGTTTTCACAATGATTTGATTTATCGTGACAAAATGCGCATTCAATCAATCTGTATTTGAGAATCGCAATCTGTAATATATATATAAAAATTCCTCAGAAGAACTCGCTCACTCGGCCTCGGTCTTTTTTCCGTCGGGGGTCTCACACGGTAGGGCGAGTATGAAACTTCGAATGTGGCACAGACCACAGGTTTCGGGTTTCGGTTGAGGCACGAGCAAATATGCGGTAGGATTCGCAATCGCTCAATTGTGCATGATACCGATTCTGCCCCAACACGCATAACCCCCTTTAAAAGTGACCGGTCTTACTTGAGCAGCTTCCAAGGTATCTGTACAGTCGATTTGCACAACTCTCCTAGAATTTCCGCCTTCTCCTGCAGATCAACGATCGTGCCACCAATGACCTTCGCCGTCTCGGCGATCTCACCACGACTCGGCCCGTCTGCCACGTTGCTGGCAGACGGAACCCTTTCTAGCCACGTCAAGCTTTGATCCAAGTTTTCCATTTCGAAGAAGCGGGATCCCAAAAGCAGAAGCGTGCGCGACTTGCTCGCTCCTTTAATCAAGACTTCTCTCGCCCCCTCGTTGTCGATGAAGTAAATGGTTCGTCTGCCGTGTATGAAATTTCTGAAAGCTTCTCTTGCGAGGACCACGGCGAAAGCTTCGGCCTGAGCAATCACCTGTTCAGGACTGTCGAGCTTCCAGAATTCCACCAAAGTCTTCGGAATGCGACCTCCGGCCACCAGCTTAGAAGAAGTGAAGGGATCCAGGACCACCACGCCGTATGTGGCGACACCTTTTTCGTAAGCTGCATCAGTGAAGATCAACACCGGTTGTTCTGGCCCTCGGCAGGCGAAGACTCTCGGTTTGCACTCGTCGATCAAGCGGATCCCGAACTCGCAAAGTGTCCTGAACTCACTCGCGCTGCGATCTTCAGGATTCCTGATGAAGCTTCCAAGTGCACGCTGCAACATCTTCATTGCCCTTCCAGAAGCAAACCCCAAAGCGAAGTTCACCTGCCCTTGCAGCGACTGAATCTGCCGCAGATCCCATTCACCATTCAACGCCATGCGGATGAAAGTATCTTTCATCTTCTCCAGCCTTGATGCCTTGTTTTGGAGCACCACGACGCCATTGGAGATGTCGCCTGCATTAAGACGGATTCCAAGTAGGTCGAAGCTCTCATTGAAAGGCGAGGTTTTGGCCGGGTCGTTGGAATACCTCCACCCGATCTTCCTCAGCAAGTGTTCGAACGATTCAGAAACAAGCTTCGCGGAAGATTGGATTTCAAGAAGCGGGAAGTCGTCGTAGAAGCATCCTGAGATCATGCCAATCAAGTTCCAGCTCAGATGCAAGATCGATCTCGACAGCCTGTTGAAAGCAAACACAGACGATGATGCACCGAAGGGCAGGCTCTGAGCTACGAAGTAGCAAGGCTTGCCGCTGTTAGGGTCCGTGACCATGACGACCCCCAGTCGCAGCGACTCCGTTGAAAGTGGAACTTGACGATACGCTTTTTCCAAGTCCAGCGTTCGCCCCTGCCAGACGGGCTTCTTAGCCTTCCAAGAAGAGTGCAGCTCTCCGCGTAGAATTTCTCCCGTGCTGAGAACAATTTCCAAAGCACCGGTTCCATCCGAAACCCGCGCGATGTAAGTTGCCATCGCTGTCATCCAATTGACATCAAACAAGGCGAGCTTTTCGAGGCTATGGTAAGCTTCGTTGACCCCGCCCTCCTTGTAGTTGTCGATCGGTCGAAGTTTGGGCCTCTCTGGCGTGCCCTGCTCGATGACGAACCTTCTCGAACAGACGAACTCCTCCACTCCAAGGTGCTTTTTCACTTCGTCCTCATCGTAGAACGGCCCTGTGAGAAAGCCGTCGTCCCGGTCCTTTAGAGTGCAATCCCAGAGTTGCCAGGTCGCCTCTGGATCTTTCTCGTGCGGATCACGGCCCTTGAGCCTCTCTCTGCGCCAGCGAGCTGATTCAAGGAGAAGCTCAGGTGTGGATGTAGCCGGCGATTCCTTGGTTTCAAACAAGGGTGATTTGTCTGGCTTCCCCACCAGATCGACGCCCATCATCAAGTCGAAGACTCCTTCATCAGGAAATTTGGTCTCCTTCAGCAATTGTGCCCATAGCAGAAGGTTCTTTCCCTTGATGACTTCGCGAGTGTGGTCAGGCAGGGTAGAATGCAGTCGCGCCTCCTCGTAGCGAAGTTCTTTCTCCATCTGGTTGAGCCTGTTGTAAAGTCTGAGCCTCTCTTCAGCAAAAGCAGACGGTCCTTCGGTCAGCCGTCGGAAGATGTTCCTTTTGACGGCATCTGGGACACAATGCTGGGTGTCGAAGGGATGGCTGAGCTTTAGGGCACAATCGATGAACTCGGTAGGCGTTCTGTACACCCCGAACCTCCCGGAACCACCCCCTAAACCCGAGGTAAACTCCTTAAAGGGCCTATCTAGGGGAGCCTCGGTGCGAAACTCGAGGAACTCCGGGATTAGCTTGTGGCTCCCACGTGGCTGGGGCCAGACAGCGCGTGGACCTGCCGGCGGTTCCAAGCAGGATGGCAAACCGGCTGTCGCGGCCAGCAGTTGCGACACCTCCTGGCACAGTTGAGGCGGATATTCCGCCTCTTCAGCGGTACTGAACCGCCACTGTCGGCCGGTCTGATAGACTAGGTAGGGATCATGTTGATGCTGATTGTCGCACTCTACAGCCATGCTAGACAAGCGAGAATCACTGCACCGAAAGCGACTGTGCTTGGGTCTGCGACCGCCTTTCATGCAATTGTGGAAGCGCACATCTATCATGCGGCGCCACCTCTCAAGTAGGGCAGGGTCTCGAGATTGTTGCACGAAGTACGCAAGCACTCCCCAAATCCAGGAATTATTGGGGTTCTCGATGCTTAAAAAGGTGGATGAAGGTAGGACCCTAACGAGCTCCACAACGAAACGACACAATTCGTTAGCCTTGCGAACCCTTGCTTTGTCGGAGTCCGACAGGTTGGGGAGGCCCAGAATGTGATCGTTATCCCTCAACGGGACAGGTTCAGGAGCACCTGCCAATCTCGCCTTCTTGCTGATGGGCCTTTCTCGGGCTCGGCTACCCGTGCCACAGGGCAAGGCAATGTGAATGGCAAATGGTGGATGCAACAAGAGTCTGTCCATGAGCTGTTTTTGACACGTGGTTTCCGTAAGGTCTAGCACAAGAAGCGGATGTTCAGGTACATGACGGTTCCAAGGAGAGTCAATCGCTAAAACGTCAAACCCCAAAGCCTGGCAATGCTTGGAAAGCCGTGCGCAGCCTGCGAAGATCTCGACGAAGAGAGGCTTGCAGGAGTCGGCGACAGCAAGGTGGGGCTTAACGGGCTCGGG